TCTTTGGATCAACCAACCAGCTTGCCCAAAGATGTTGGTCTGCAAACTTTGGATCAAGTTGTAAACACGCTTACCGATCCAGCGCTTATGTATGGAGCCAACGGCAATATACCCTACAATCGAGCTACACTGACAACACTTTTGAAAGACTCTTTCGGCGGACGAGCACAAACCTTGCTAATTTTGTGCGTTTCACCACTAGAACGCGATTGTAATGAAACCATTTGCAATTTACAATTTGCTTTCAAAATCCAATGTGTGCGAAATTATGTGATTATGAATACGTTTTCGGATGATAACACACCTATATCACCAGAAGCTTTGGTGCCTGAATTACCAGGAGGCGGTGGACCTTGTCTTCCTGTAGGAACAGATACATTTGGGTTGCAGTTCGCAGCCAGCCAGTGGTATAAATTGGTGGCAAATGCAGAGGGCCTCTTCTCTAAGTAAGAAAAAAGATAGTTTTGTATACCTAGTACTAAAAATTTCTTTGCAATTAATTACTTAATAGATTGGCTGCTTCAAACGCCGTCACTGAACTAGACAAAGAGCAAATAGAAGAGTGGCTTTACTTGAAGCAAGAATGCGAGGAGTGTTTGAGCTCTGCTGAAGCTCTACGCTCACAGAAGCAATTGGGACCAATACAAGAAGCAGACGAGCCTGAGGAGGCAATAAGCGAGCCAGAAACTTCTTTGCAACAAAACTCGGACAATGATTCCGATTGCGAATCCCAGCGGCCAGATTTGATGGAAAAGCTACAGATTTTAATGGAAGAATTACGTCTGAAGACGGACACTTTGATACAGGACAAATATAAAGAATTTTTGCAAAGTCAACCGAAGGCGGTTATGGAAAGCCAGGACAGCTTAAGGCACAAAGAGTCGGCGCACAGCATGGAGTTGGTGTTGAGTGAGCAACCTCCGCCTAGAGAAAAGTTGGACGAACGCAAAACATCCATTGGTGGTAAGTTTAGCTTTCAGGGAATAATTATACATTTATTTTTATGATAATAATTATTTAACAACTAGGACGGCGGCGATCTATCCAACCTGGCGCTAGTCTCTCCAGTGCTGAAATTGCCATGCTGAATCGCGTAGCTTCACGTGAACAAGCAGCACCCAAAGAAGTCGACGATTTTCTCGAAAGTTCAGGTGACCTACAGAACGCCTCACAGCTGCGTGCTGCAATCAATTCACCACTTGAAAATATGCAGAAGAAATTGCGCAAATTGGACACAGATATCGAAGCACGGCAATGTCAAATACAGGAGGTGGAGCAAACCATGCAATTGAAGCAGAATATTATCACAGAGCTTGTGAAAAACAGTGATACACGCTCCACCGCCAAGCAGCGTTTCCATAAGAAAAAGTCCAAGCTCGAGTCCGAGTATGAAAAGACTAAAAAGCAATTGGCCAAGGCAATAGTACAGGGCAAGGAGAAGTCTGAAGTAGAAAGATTGCGCGCTTTAATCGCCCACATAGAGCAGCGCCTGCAAGATCTCGCTTCAATGAAGCACATTGCCGGCGAAAGTGGGCAAAAGGTGAAGAAGCTGCAGCATTCTATACACGAGTCTAAAAAGGTCATCGATGAGCTGCAAAAGAAGTTAAAGAAAGATCGTAAACAACGCGAACAATTAGAGCACGAGTTAAAGGTACTAAAAGAGAAGGAAAATAGTGGCAATGGCAACAAAGCACTAGTAAAATTAGACCCAAACGCTTTCAACAATGGTGAAGATGCAGAGCGCGGCAAGAATCTGAAAGAGGTTCAGGCCCGCATTTCGCACTTGGATCACGTATTGCGCGAGAAATCAGAGAATCTGGAGCAATATGGTGATACCGCTGAGGGCACTGGCGAAAAAGAGGGACTACGGCATGAAATACGCAATCTGAGGCGCACGCGGGATCATCTACTCGAGCAGCGTTGCACGCTCGATCGCAAGCTGAAGCGCGACAAAATGCTTTCACATCGTGAGGAGCGCAAGCTACTCGAATGCGATGAGGCTATTGAAGCCATCGATGCAGCAATTGAATTCAAAAACGAGCTTATTTGCGGACACAAATCCATTGATACCAGCGAACGAGTGCAACGCGAAAAGGGCGAACAAATGCTGATGGCACGTCTAAATAAACTTTCGCCAGAGGAGATGCGCACGCTGTTATATAAGTACTTCACAAAAGTGATTGATTTGCGCGATTCATCGCGCAAGCTGGAAGTGCAGCTAATGCAACTGGAACGAGAACGTGACGCTTGGGAATGGAAAGAGCGTGTACTTTCGAATGCAGTAAGGCAGGCGCGATTAGAGGGTGAACGCAATGCAGTGCTATTGCAGCGACAACATGAAATGAAACTTACATTAATGTTGCGTCATCTCGCCGAGGAGACATCAGCATCGACTAGCTCGGTGAGTTTCAGTGAAGCACAACAGCAGCATCAGCAGCAGCAACGTTACTTGCGACCCACAAACTTAGCGCTAACACATCAGCAACAACAAATGCATACAGCTGGCGGTGCTATGAACACATCATCACAGTATTCCGACACTGATCTCGATTTAGATTTCTATAAGAAAGCTCCTATACCGGTGAGTGGTAAAATTTTAAAGCCTCCCAAGCATGGTGAAATGGAAATATGTCCATTGCCCGATGCTTTGGCTAAATACAAACCGTTGGATAAGTTAAAGGAGAAGGAGCGTGAATCGAAGAACAAACTATTTGCCAAATTTCAAGTGCTCACACGCTATGCTGGTCAGTCGGTAACTGCCGCAGCCGCTGGTTGCGCTGCGGACGAACCGGCCGGCGGTAGTGGCCGTAAGAAGGATAAAGCGCAGCAGCTGGCTGCAGCCATACCACAAGAAAATCTAAAACGCTTAATTTCGACACCTCCCGCCACAAAAGTGACACGTCAGAAGAATAAGATCATCATACAGGATGCAACGCGCAAAAATTAGGCGAAGTATGAATGATAGGAGGGTGAGCATTTGCAGCTAATATATTATTAAAGTAGAAGAGAAAGAGGGAAAGATAATGAAAAGGTTTAACATTACAGTTACATTTTTTATTACAGTTGTGTCTTTCTGCCCTTAGCTAACCATGACCTAACTTGATGTATTTCTACCTAAAGTCTGCTAAGTCTGTCTAATCAGTATGCGTTTTTTCACAAAACACACTTCCATCCTTTCAGTTTAAAGTAGCAATATTGAGTTATTTTTATATTTTTTATACATATGTATGTATGTTTCAAATGTACAACTTCGTTGTATGCATTTCAAAATGTATCATGTCTTTTCTTAACTTTGAAATTATACACATTTTTTTACGTTATTGTCGATACGAATGAATATTGTGTTTTATCGGTAGCTTACCAAATATTATCAGGTTGTTTTAAAAGCGTTTACTCATTGTTTCCCTATGTGTTTGGTGCTTTTGTACTTATAAAATATTTGTTTCAAATATTTTTACATATTTTGGGGCTCAATATACATATTTTCGTGAATTATTTTAATTTAACTTAAAACATTTGTTAATTTTTACATATTTATAGTGTTTTATAGTGAAGCAAGAGTAACAATAAACGTCGTAAAGAATTTTAAGTCATTTAAGATTCATTAAGAGGAGTTCCCTTAAGCAGAAATCTCAAAAACGTCGCAAATTTTCAAACTTTGACTGAGCTGTTAAAATCTTCATGTAAAATACATTCTGAGTCTAAAAATTTACAGTTATTCTGAGTTGAATAGATTCGTAGAAATACTTTTCATTGAAAATCCAAATTACATACATATATACGTATGTATGTTCGTAGCAAATTTAATATAAGCGATTCCCTTAAATTACGAAAAATAAAAACTCAAAAACACGAAAAATCTTTATAGTAATTTTAAAAAATTGTTACAATTTTCTAATGTTTTTGAGGTAAATTGATCTGGCGAAATCTTAGAAGTTTCAGTTTCATATTTTTCAAATTAAAAGAAACCGCTTAAATAATGTCGTGTTTCCACTGGACATTAAATCACAAAATCGCAAATTCTTGATCGAGCGAAATTTCAAGAGTTTTATGTTTTCTTATTTTTCAAACTTAAAGAAATCGTCTAAATTGTGTCGGATTTCCCCTGAACATTAAATTATTGATCTGGCGATATTTTAAGAGTTTCAAGTTTTATATTTTTGATACTTAAAGAAATCACCTAAAAAATTCCGTATTTCCACTAGACATTAAATCAAAAAATTATTGATCGGGTAAATTTTTAAAAGTTTTAAGTTTTCTTATTTTTTAAATACAAAGATATCGCCTAAATTATGCCAGATTTCCACTGAACATTAAATTATTTATCTGTCGAAATTGAAAGAGTTTCAAGCTTTTTTTTCAAATTTAAAGAAATCGCATAGATGATTCCGTATTTCCATCGGACATTAAACTACAAAATCGTAAATTATTGATCGGGCGAATTTATAAGAGTTTTAAGTTTTCTAATTTTTTAAATTTAAAGAGATCGCGTAAATAATGCTCCTTTATCACTGAGCATTAAATTAATAATCTGGCGAAATGGTACGAGTTTAATTTTTCTTTTTTTCAAAATTAAAGAAATCGCCTAAATAATTCCGTATTTCCACCGGACATTAAATCAAAAAACGTATTGTGTATGTATGCTAATCAGTCCAACGATTTTCGTGGACTGAGATGGACGAGGTACACTCGCACTCTCCTTCCACTCTTGCCCACAAAAAACCGGTTTCAGTCCGCCTGAGAAATCACCTAAAAGCTTGCAAATTTTTTTAATAAAAAATATGATTTATTTAATTTTTACAGTTATCTATTCCTTTTGGTGTTCAACTTTTCGCTGTTTTTGGTTTGTAAATTCAGCCATACAATTTTATAAAACAAAGTATTGGTTTTATAAAAAAAACGATTTTTTTTTGTAATTTTTTTGAAATAAAAACTACATGCATAAGAATAGGCACCATATATATTTTTTTTTAATCAAACAAAAGGCTATTTCAAAAGAATACTCAGAACATTTTCTTAGAAAATAAGCTAAGTCTGTTCTTAATACACATAATTAAGCATATAAGTTAAATTTATTTCGAAAAATGCGCTTCCTAAAAAGATAAATAAAAAATTGTGTATTTTTTTGTCTTAGAAATAACTATCTTAAACGTTCACTTCAATAGCCACCAAGTTTTTCTATATAAAATATTGTGAACATTCTGTAACTTTTTTTAAGTCGTATTTTTAAATATAATTTTGTACACATAGTATGTATGTAGGTTTTTAAGTAATGCTTATACATACCTACATAAATGTCATAATATTTTGTGCGCTTTTTCCAATTATGCACATTGTATAAGTCTAGCTATATTTTTTTTTAAGTTTACGAATTGAATATTGTACTCCAATTTAAATTAATATGTTTAGTTAGGTTAAGCTTTAATTAGTATAAAAATGCAAACAAATTTACAACTTAACTTAAAACCAGTTGAAGAAAAAACGAAAGTGTAACAACAACAAGAAATCAGAATTTAATACTCAAACCCACTTAAAGGCATTTAAGCAATTTCTCGTCTATTTGTAATGTAGTGTGTAGCAATAAATGCGTACAGGCACACTCATAAACAAAATAACAAACGTGCATACGCAATTTTTAGCAATCGAATTTGAAGAAAATTTACAAAAATATACTACCTAAATACAGCAATTTATAAAAATTTTGATACCCCAAAAAATGTAAAGATTATGTTACCAAATAATATACATACATACAAATATTGCATTACAAAAGGTTAAAAGACATTTTTTTTACGCAGACTACTTATATCTATACCGTGATACAAAATTTTTGTATCATGCTAAATCCATACATACCTCATCCGCTTTTTCTTAATTCAAATAGTGTAAAATTACCTCAATTGTTTTTTTACATTATTTTTCTTTTGACAGATTTTTTTCCCCCAAAATATTACTTTCACACTCACCAGACATATGATGAACATATACACACCTATTGCAGCAATTACTTCTATATAACTATATGTATCTCAAGGTGTCTAAATATGTATGACAATTCATAAAATATCTATAAATCTACAAAATACATATTTTCATTTACATAAATGCCATATAAATTATACATAAAATATACATACTCACAAAAAATATTCATAAATATTAACAAGTTAAATAAAAAATGCAATACTAAGTAGTACTGAATGTGTTTAACGTTAAGGAATTTGTATTCTTTTCTTTTGTCACAACGGATATGGCGCTTTCTTAAAATAATATGGCCTTGTCATAGCCCTTTCCATAGCGTTTGCGTGAAGAGTGCAATAAGAAGGCTATATTTTTCAGTAGGAACGAAAATGCCATTAGTTTGTTGATAAAGGCTTTTCTCTCAATGAAAACAAAAGACTTAAGCAACAAACTTGAATCAGGGGTATAAAATGTTTAATACGGCTCACATTTGGCTGAACCTTCTCCTTCAATTTGTGGTGTGTGTCGGTATGTTGTCACACAAATGGCGGAGCGCACAATTTACCGCCTCTTACGAATGTTAGGCGGTTTTTATGAAGAACAGAAATACACTCGGAGACTTGCTATTGCCCACCAAATGGCAAGGGGGACCGCTATCGGTAAACACTTTTGATGCTCGCAGACCTGCTATTCTGCGGTGGAATCATAACAGTCGTGAACGAGCAACGTACTGCTCGTCTCGTATGCCGCATAATGATTCGTTCCCAGGGTCCTACCGGCAATTCTTCTATTACGAACACTCTTTTATACTGAAGTTTATTTGAAAATTCACCAACGAATTTTAAAAATTTATCAGACTGTGTAAACAGTACCAAATAAAGCAACCCTGTACTGTAGAAAAGTGTGAAGTTGGTATTGGCGAAAGGCAACCAACTTCACTCTTTTCCGAACTGCTGAACCTCGTGAAGCAAGAAAGAAAACCTAAAGCATTTTTATAAAGTTTATCTTAATTTATCTGGAATAAAGGCTGAGAGTTTAAAGCATCAGGTGTGGTACAAATTCTACGAAATGCTTTCTACACGGGACGATTACGCACAACTATTAAGCGAGGCGGGTATCCAATTCCCGGCTACCGCCACGTTGTCGCAACTGAAACGTATGGCGATTAACATGGTGGGAGCATCTGACACAGTGAACATACGCGGTGCTCCGTGTGATTTTCTTTCACAGCAAACAAATACAAGCGCCGACATGGCTAGTGTGGGTGACTGTGCTGATGAAGTGGCGATTGTAGGTGCCCCTGCCGGAGCTGCGCATTACGGTAAGCAAAATGTTTATCCATCTGCCGATAAAATTAATTCCGCCGGCAATGAGGCCTCTGCTGAGGGTGCCGCTGCCATCACCCCTGCCGTAGCCACTACAACCGCCATTGCCGTTACTACTGCCGTTGCTAATGGAGCTACCACTGCCGTTGCCGATACTGTTGCCAGTGCCACCGCCGTTGCCGATACTGTTGCCAGTGCCACCGCCGTTGCCGATATTGTCGCCAGTGCCACTGCCGTTTCCGATACAGTTGTCAGTGCCACTGCCGTTGGCGATACTGTTGCCAAGGCCACTGCCGTTGCCGATGCCGTCGACGTTGCCGGTAATGTTGCTGCCACCAATGCCACCGCCCTTCCTGCAGTCAAAACAGCTAGCATCGCTAACTCCACTTCATTTGCTGTTCCCGCTACCGCAAGTATTGACGAGGAATTGTCTTCACTGCATAAGAAGCTGGAAATAATGATGTTAAAACAACGCATTTTCGAATTGGAGAAAGGCTCAGCACCACCAGTGTGTAATGCTGGCAACAAAAACAGTTACTGTGATGTCGAACATGCATTAACAAAGTTCAGTGGAGATGACATTGCATACTCAGTGCGATATTTTTTACGAGATTTTGAAGAAGTGATGAACACAATTAATGCTGATGAACGTTTCCGATTTTTATGCCTTCGGCGGTCTCTTACCGGCACTGCACGTGTGTTTTTGTCCACGACAGCCGCATTCACATACGATCAGCTACGCAAGCAACTAACTGCTGAATTCGACAGAGACGTCAGCCGGCAAGATGTTTACAAGATGTTAGACCAACGGCGATGGCAGAAGAAGACCGAGTCACTCCACTGCTACATTCTCAACATGCAGGCCATCGCCAAAAGATCTGACATAACCGAAACTGAAGTCATCGACTTCATAGTTGAAGGCCTAGGAGATAATATCTCTAACAAAAATCTCCTTATGGGCGCACGCACAATTGAAGAGTTGAAGATGCTAGTGGCCAGATACCAGCAGAAGTACTTACGTCGCGAGAGTGACACAATCAAAAGGCCGGCAAAGGAATCAATAAGGACTACGAAGGAAGTTGCCCACTGTTTCAATTGTTCGCAAACAGGGCATATAAAACCCAATTGCCCGTACCCGCTCAGACCAAACGGTTCCTGTTTTCGCTGTTGGCAGATGGGTCATGAGCATCGTTCCTGCCCCAATCCGAAGAAAATTCTTCGTAAAACGGACAAACGACAACAAGTCCTGGCAGTTGCAGAGGTTGAATCCGGTGAAGACGACGAAGACGTAGGCGCTTACAATTTTGTGAGTATTAAGTTTAGTGACTGTAAGAAGCAGGTATTTAATAAGTATATTTCTCTTTTTGATACGGGTAGTCCCGTTAGTCTGTTACGGGAATCTGATATTCCGATAGAATTTATTAAAGGACACAAACAACCCAAAATATCAAAATACGTTGGTGTCGGAGGGAAGAGAATATTGATTAAAAATGAATTAAAATGTTTTGTTAAATTTAAAAACGAAATAAAAGAAGTTACATTTCTAGTTTTGTCAAATGAATGTATGCTCATGCCAGTAGTTCTAGGAAGAGATTTTTTGTCCAAGTTTAGGATTCGCTTAACAAAAGTAAAGCTGAGATATGTTAAAGAAGAACTAATGTGTATTAGAGAAAAAATGAATTATTTTGTACCCCAAAGAAACGCACTTGCGAACCTCAGCAGATGCGATCTTTTAAAATCATATGACGAAAATAGAAAACTCAATTCCGATCCTTTGGTAACGCATGCCAGTAATGATATATTTTGCATTAATATAGAATCTTTCGCGTTAGAACCAGATATAAATCCTAAATTGAATAGGGAACAATTGGTAGCCTTGAACAATATAATTAGGGAATCTTACCTAGAGCCAAGAGAAACTGCAATCGAGCC